TAACCCATTCGAAACCGCATTGTTTTTTCCTTTTTTTTCGTCTGCGGACCAAGGCCTTTTTTGACATTTTTTCGCTGCAGCGGTCCGCTCCCGGGGTATTTTTTGCTGACGTTTCATTTCATATTATTTCTGATAATTTCTATATATTAATCTAAGTATTCTTCTTTCAGATAGCGTTATGGGTGACGAATTGAACGTTTCTTTCAATAATTTATTTATTGACAGTGATTTGGAGTCTATGGATGGATCAGATGATCGACTAATTCAACCAGAAGTATTGTCATCAAGTTCAAGCAAATCCAAGGAAGAGGATGACGATGCGTCCGAAGCAGTTTATCCAGATAGTTGGAAAGATTTACGAGAGTCTCCCACACCATTTATTTTTGATGAAGAACGATTTGGATTTGACTTCAGTACTTTTTAAGATCCGATCGATTATTATTCTTATTTTATCGACGACAAATTAATCAATATGTTAGTAGGCGGATCTAATAAGCATGGAAAATAGAAAACAAACTGGCAGGATTTCGATGCAAAATCTTTCAAGCCCTTCTTGACTCTGTATCTTCAAATGGGAATCGTCAAATTACCGAGGATTCGTGACTACTGGAGTAGCAGGCCTGGATTAGGAGGATTTTCCCACATGTCCCACATTATGTCAAGTCGCAAAATTTGAATCTATTCTTCAAAACCTTCATTTTTGTGATAATGAACTGGATCCTGCAGGAGATCGGCTTTATAAGATTAGAGCTATGGAACATTTGAATCAAAATCAGAGGCTGCATTGATTCCGGGTCAAAAATGCTGCATTGACGAATCTCTTATTTTCTTCTGTGGTCGAGTCAACTTCCGTCAATATATCCCATTGAAGAAACAAAAGTTCGGCATCAAGATATTCAAGTTATGCAGCAAAGGCGGCTTTGCGCACAAGATTATTATTTACTGTGGACGTGTGCAAAGACTGGAAGAATCTGTTTCTGAGCATGTTGTTATGCAGTTGATGGAATCATATATTGGAGTGGGAAGAACTTTATTCGCCGACAATTGATATTCTTCAATTTCATTAGCCAAGAGATTATTAGACAACAAGACCGATTACGTTGGAACATTTCTAATAAATAGAAAAAGCTTCCATAAAAGGGTGATTCAGAAGAAGCTCAAGAGGCGCGAATCAATGGCACTGATCAAAGACGGAATCATGGCGATGCAATGGTGTGACAAAAAGCCTGTTATGATGATTTCGACTTGTCATCGAGATGAAAGAGGAGTAAATAATAAGCCTTTAGTTGTTGCCGACTACAACCAATCGATGCAGTTCGTAGACAATAGTGACCAAATGGCAAGCTATTACCAATGTGTTAGCCGAACATGTAAATGGTATATAAGAGTCTTTTTTCATACTATTACTCAAACGTGCTTGGTGAACGCGTACAGGTTGTATTGCACCAACCAGAGAAAGATTTTATTTTTGGACTTCAAATTGGCAGTAATTGAATCGTTATTGAAGAGAGAGAGGAACTGTGTCCTAGTACACCTCTTTTTTTGAAGGAGATTCCAGGACCTAAAAGAAAGACTTCAAAAAACTGCTTTATTTGTTATAGAGAAAAATCAGAAGCAGAAGGATCAAAAGAAGCTAGATGGAACCCTAAGCCTGTCAACACGATGTGCAACCGATGTGAGAAACCCATTTGCGTCAATTTTTATGCTAAAAAACATAACACCTGTTGATTTTCTCTTGTTGAAAAATAAAAAAAATTTGTATAAAATAGTTAATTTTGCAACATTCATATAACATTAAATATGACACGTCTTTTTTGCCCACATAATTTGCAGAACTGTTACAATTGGAATATACATGTGAAAAACAGCAAAAAAAACCAATTAATTGAATGAAAATAGCTCAATTAGCGCTGCGGCGGTCCGTTCCTGAGTTTTTGCTGCAGCGATTATTCGCTGCAGAAGTTTCGAATGGGTTAATGAGTTCTAATACTTCTGAAAATCACTTATAACAGCTTATAAATGGTAGAAATCTGATGGCTCTAAGATTTTACAGTAAGCGTAAAAGAGTAAAGGTTCTATATTGCAAGCTTTAGCCAATGACGGAAAACCGGCAAAACCTCGGCGGCGTGTGGAACCAGCAAAATCCAGTAGCCAATGAACAGCATGGTAAAGTTTAGTGTTTCTCATTTTATGAAACGTTAACTTTAGGAATGCCCGCTCGTTTTCCCTACCCACAAAGCGGCGGTCCCCATTACGCTCAACCAAGCATGAGCCCCCCTCATCCCTACGGAAATCCGTACAATGCTCATCAAGGTGGGTACAAAAGCTATCGTAGCAAAAGTGAAACTTAAGCTTAACCTACAGGGTGAGGCAAAAGTTCTGACACTTTTTTTCAAACGACTGTATAAAATTTCAAAAAACAGTATTTGGCTCACTTTTTGTTTTTTAACATTTGTTAAACTGTTTTTCCTTATTTTTAACAAGAAACAACGTTTTTGTTTAGGTTCGCTTTCAATATGGATGCTAAAAAGAGGCGCACTGTGATACTTGAGTTGCACAAAGCCGGAAAGATACCGATGAAGATTGTTCGAGTCACCGGATATCCAAAAAAGTCTGTCTATTGAGCCATTGAACGATTCAAGGAGCGGGGCAAGGAGCAGGACCGTCCAAGAAGCGGTCGACCAACCACAGCCGTCACTCCAGAGAACACAAGCAAAGTCAGATGCCGAATCCGTCGAAATCCCACTCGTTCAATGAGAAAGATGGCCACAAGCCTCCGAATCAGCGAAAGAAGCGTTCGAAGGATTGTTCATAAGAAACTTGGAATGTCCAGCTACAAATTTGCTCGGTCTGATTTCCTGAACGACGCCGATGAAGCAAAAGAGGATGACTAAAGCGAAGAAGATGCTTCACCTGGTCGTTTGGACAAGGTTGTGTTGACAGATGAGAAGATCTTCACCGTTCAACCGATCCACAATTGTCGAAACCATCGCTAACTTCTCAAGCGAGGTCTCAAAAACACTTTTGCAGCCAAATTGATGGTCCGCCAACATTTTCCGAAGTCCGTTATGGTGTGGGCCGGCATCTGTGCCACAGGAAAGACGCCTCTTGTGTTCATCGATCGAAATGTGAAAATCAACGCTAAGGTCTACCAGCAAAAGGTATTAAAGGATGTCTTAGAGCCCTGAGCAGCGAATCATTTCGGACAAACTGGATTTACCCTTCAGCAGGACTGGGCGCCGGCCCATGGAGCCCGCTCGACTCTCGCTCTCTGCAATCAGCTGTTTCCGGGCTACTGGGGTAAGGACATTTGGCCGTCGAATAGCCCCGATTTGAATCCCCTGGACTTCTCCGTTTGGTCAATCTTGGAAGAGAAGATCTCTGGCAAGAGATTTCACTCCGTGGATTCTTTGAAAGCCGCTTTGAAGAGGGTCTGGGTTGAAATCACTGTTCAGCAATGCGCGACGGCAACTTCCGCAAGCGATTGAAGAAGTGCATCGAGACCAAGGGTGGAAATTTTGAACATTTGTTATGTTTTTTTGTTAGTTTTGTCTTCAATAAACAATTTGTTATCGTTTTTTGATCAATATTGCCAACGTTTGCAACTTTTATTTCTCTTAGAAAAAGTGTCAGAACTTTTGCCGCACCCTGTATAATCAATGAGGTTTTGGAGTTAATTTAAAGAATTTTTCTAAAGCAAGATTGTCATACCCTCTAGGGCCGTATGGAACACAATACGTGGCGCCGCCGCCTTTCGCAGCGACTTCCTCGCCAGGACAACCGCCATTCCAACACCCCAATCCACAACACGGTGAGAACATCCTTTTTTCCCTAAAGCAACATAAAATCTTAAGCTAAACTTTTAGAAAAACTTTCCATTTAATATGTTTACTAAAAGCAATCCATTTTAGGGAAGTACGAGTCTTTCGCCAACATGTTTCCGCTCGGTTCCATCCCGACATCCGCGCCTCCCGGTTATCAACAACATCAACAGTTGCCGAATAACTTTACACCCGCCGGACCAAATGGATATCCACAAAATTGTAACATTTTGGTACTCTTTCAAAAACTTTGCTGCATTCAGTCTATAGCCAACAACAGTGTGATCCTAACGGAACGATACCAAATTCGCAGAATCCACATGCAGCCTTCTGGCCACAAATGGGTATGCAATAAAAAACATTAAAACAAAACTTTTAAGAAGTTTAATAGTAATGCCGTTACTCAGTTTTTTAGGTTATGTTCAACAGAATCCAACGAATGGTCAAGCAAGTGGAACGGCTGGACCTCAAGGAATGCCTTCCTTTCCACAACAGCCTCAGCAACATCAAACATTTTCCCAAAACCCCACGTTTCCAACAGGTGAAGTCAAAAAATCAAAACGGTCCTGATCACCGAAAAAATCTTACGTCCAAGATTTTGATTTAGAATTTTTGAAATTTTAAATAACTTGGAGAATCTGATTGTAAGAACTACAAACAAAAGATAAAAGTTAACAGCTCTTTCAGGCAATTCTCAACCTCAACCTCAATCGGACATGACGGCTGCGTTTGTGGAGTATCTAAAGTCAAAACAACAAAGCACAACTCCACCAACTTTCGAGGGGAAAACCCGAGAAAAGAAAGTGACAAAAGAGAAATCAAAAGAGACAAAAGAAATAAGTGAGTCTGAAGAAAGCGAGAAAGAATCCGAGGAATCAGTCCGAGATTTTGATTTTGAATTTTAAATTTTAAATAACTTGTAGAATCTGATTGTAAGAACTACAAACAAAAGATAACAGTTAACAGCTCTTTCAGGCAATTCTCAACCTCAGCCCCAACCTCAATCGGACATGACGGCTGCGTTTGCTGAGTATCTCAAGTCGAAACAACAAAGCACAACTCCACCAACTTTCGAGGGGAAAACCCGAGAAAAGAAAGTGACAAAAGAGAAATCAATAGAATTAAAAGCGACAGTGATTGAGTGGGTTGAAGCGGGGGCCTCGCTCGTGTCGAGGTTTATCCGCAACGCTTCCACAGAGGGACCATCGACTTCACGCTCCAACCCGGTGGCTTCAAACAGCCCAATGATTCGTGGAGGGATTGATGGCCACCCTCCGGAGTAGAAGGACCGTCCCCCACCAGTCCGTACCTCTCCACTCCTCCTCTCCCCATGCCATCGAGCGCATACTCTAATCCGGCAGCCTCCATCGATCCCATCGTTGGCCCCCATTCTGTAGGAGTGCCGCCTACCTTGTCACGTGTAAGTTCACGCTCGAGTGACTCAGAGTATCTACCATGATTCACTGTATTTTCTGTGAATCTCCTCGGCTTCTCGGATCCCAATGCCGTCATTTACACGCTCCAATCCGTTGACTTCAATCAGTCCCAAGATTGGAGGTGAAATCATTAGCTGTAATTCTATTGGAGTACCGTCTGCCCTTAGTCCGTAATCTTCGGCTCTTCATTTTTCAATTCACAGCGCCATTATTGACCATCGATTAGTTACTTTACTTTTAACATTTATTTAATTGAAAAACAATGTCTCTTTTCATAATTTAAATTGTTTTTCTCTTGTTTTTTTCAGATCGATTGAAAATCATTTGTGTGATTGAAAATGTATTAGAGTTTTCCATAAGTTCTTGCGGTTCTTAAAAATCAGCCAACAAATTACATCTGAAATTTCTATTGAATCATCGATAAGTATATGCTAACTAGTAGACAAAAATTTGATGATGATTACTTGGTTGAATCGAGAGAATGAGATATGATTGTTCAACTAGGTTAGCAAGTATTTGTCCTTATTTTGAGGGCTAATTTGAGAGAAAATTTCCATACTTTTACTCAAAAAAAAGATAAATTAGATAAAGCTAATTTAAGTTGAATTGTATCTGGCTTTTAGGTCGATCAATGCTCCTAAAAATGTTATGGATCTTGTCTTTCATTAGTCCTGTCTTTCTAAGCAAAGCACTCTTCACATTCTCGAAATTCAACGCTCTTGATTTCTCCAAGCTGCATGACAAAAAGAGTGCCCCGGCAAACCACTCTAAGAAAAAGAAAGAAAGAAAAACCCATACAGAGCTTTTACATATAGTTTTTTACATAGAGCCTTTTACATACAGCCTTTTACATACAGCCTTTTGCATACAGCTCTTTTGCATACAAATACAGCCAATCATTTCTGTGAAACATTATTTTTATTTTTATTTTATTAAATAATTTTAAGTTTTAATTTAATATTATTTAATTAATATAATTGAAATTAAATAATTCAATATTAAGTAATTTTAATTTTTCTTTTCTCAATCGTTTTAGAAATTTCAGCCACCTCCAATAACTTTTGTGTATACTTTTCCAATAAGAACTACCAGAATTTGGAATCGACTTCCCAGAGTTTTGAGAGAGTCCAATAGTCTCGAAAGTTTTAAATTAAATCTGTGGATGCTCTTGATCTAGAAGCTCTAGTGAATTCTTGACGCTATCTATGCTATCCATAGATTACATACATTATCCGTAGATGAGCTTGATCTTGAAGCTCTAGTGGATTCTTGGCGTTATCTGTGCTATCCATAGATTACATACATTATCCGTAGATGAGCTTGATCTAGAAGCTCTAGTGAATTCTTGACGCTATCTATGCTATCCATAGATTACATACATTATCCGTAGATGAGCTTGATCTTGAAGCTCTAGTGGATTCTTGACGTTATCTGTGCTATCCATAGATTACATACATTATCTGTAGATGAGCTTGATCTTGAAGCTCTAGTGGATTCTTGGCGTTATCTGTGCTATCCATAGATTACATACATTATCTGTAGATGTTCTTGATCTTGAAGCTCTAGTGGATTCTTGGCGTTATCTGTGCTATCCATAGATTACATACATTATCTGTAGATGTTCTTGATCTTGAAGCTCTAGTGGATTCTTGGCGTTATCTGTGCTATCCATAGATTACATACATTATCTGTAGATGTTCTTGATCTTGAAGCTCTAGTGGATTCTTGGCGTTATCTGTGCTATCCATAGATTACATACATTATCTGTAGATGTTCTTGATCTTGAAGCTCTAGTGGATTCTTGGCGTTATCTGTGCTATCCATAGATTACATACATTATCTGTAGATGTTCCTGATCTTGAAGCTCTATTGGATTCTTGGCGTTATCTATGCTATCCATACATTATCTGTAGATGTTCCTGATCTTGAAGCCCTATTGGATTCTTGACGTTATCTATGCTACCCATATCGTGTTGCTTTTTATCGGTCCTTTTTCGTATTTATGTGTATTAATCTTAAATCTTGAGCACTTTATTTCATGTCCTGAATAAAGTATCTATCAATCATAAAAGACATATTTTGTTTTCCTTAACAAATACAATAAAGTTGACAATAAAGTATGCATACAAATCCTAAATCTATCAAATTACAGAAAAATTAAAACTTTTAAATCATTTATTGAATTAAATGCTAATTAAAACTCAAAGTCTTAATTTTTCACAAAAGAAAACAATAATAAACAGAAAGAAAGCTTGAAGTTTTGTCGGAGAAGAGCGAGTTGTTGTGCTCTCTAGAATTTTCAGTAATATTAAATCTCTTTATCAAACTTAATCTCTAAAACTTATTAAGTTCTTGCTTTTATTTTCTATTTTTCATTCCCCCTTTCTTTCTAGGTCCTTATTTATTCTTTCTAGGTTCTTTCTAGGTCCTTACGATGTGTAGAAGCCGTAGTGAGAACAGTTACGGTGGTGGTGATTGTCGATGTCGTATCAATAGTTGAACTGATAGCCGATTTAGTACCAGAATTTGTTGTCGTTGTCATTGCTATCATTGTACTTGTTGTACTTGTTGTACTTGTTTTACTGGTTGTACTTGTTTTACTTGCTGTACTCGTTGTCGATATTATTTCAGTTGATTCAACTGTTGATGGTGTGCTCGCAACAAATCTCAACAAAAACGCTCCATCATTGGCTTTGCTCGTGTAGAGAACCTGTAATCTTATTTCATATTCTTTCTAACTATCTTTTTTTCTTTTTCCTACGAATTTTGTACTTAGAACTGACAAACCTGCATTCGCCCACCTTCTCCATTAAATCCCAAGTGATTCCCATTATCTGTTGTGCTAAAGTTACAAAGTAAACCACTATAAATAGATAAGACAAAGTTTGCTAAAGTAAAATTTGAATAATAGAATAATTATGTTTTTATAAGTATAACTAACTAACTAACTAAACTAACTAACTAAACTAACTAACTAACTAACTAAATAACTAACTAACTAACTAAACAACTAACTAAATAACTAACTAACTAAACTAACTCACGAAATAACTAACTAAATAACTAAATAACTAACTAAACTAACTACCTAAATAGCCAACTAACTAACTAACTTAAATTGGTTAACTCCGATCGTGATTTGAAAAAAGCCACCCGATGAACCAAGCTGTAACGACACCAAATCGTTAGTGAAAACTGTAGAGTCTCGCATTTTCACTGTAATTTTTTCTTATTTTGTTATTTATGCATTAAACCTACAAAAGTCATCTACTTGATAAGTGACTTGAATTGGTCGGCCTTTCTCAAAGTTTTTCGGATATAACAATGGCCGCGGATACCCTTGACTCATCAAAAAACCCTCATTTACGAGCGTTTTCAAGGAGACAGTGTTAAAGTTAAAATCTAAAAAAGAACTTTATCTAAATTATTTGATTAATTTCAATAAGTTTTCAATAAGCTTTCAAGTTTCAATTCGTTTGATTTATGATTTTACTTTAGAGCTTCACAGCTTGCTAACATGAAAGTGATCAATTGGGTTGGTGAATTGAAAACTGCGGGCTATTGTCATATGTGACAGTTTGAGCACTTTCTTCAGAAGAAACCCATTTTAGAGCGAGTCAGTTTTGCTGAATTGAATCGAAAACTGCCGGACTTTGAACTAAAATTTATTCAACATAAAACCATGAATTCATTCCAAATAATTTCCATTATTATTGACGACTTCTGCCCATTTTACAGGCAATTTGCGGATTCCTCTTTCGTGGTAGGATTTTGGTTTGTGTGTGAGACAAATGTGAGACTCAAAAATGGAGAACTGGAGATGTCCCTGGAGGACGTTTGAGCACTTTCTTCAAAAGAAACCCATTTTGGTGCGAGTAGAAAAGTTGTAGAGAATCAAAAATTAGGCTTATAGCCAAATTTCCAAAAAGATACACTTAGTAGTTTCGCTTAAAATGCAAGTTTTGTGAAAATTCGTAAATTTGGCATTTCTTGAAAACCAGCTTTTGAATCGTTCTAAAAATTTGGATAGAAGCTTGATTTTTGATTCTCTACAACTTTTCCATTGACACCAAAATGGGTTTCTTTTGAAGAAAGTGCTCAAACTGGGACATATGAGAATAGCCGGCAGTTTTCAATTCACCAACCCAATAGATTGAGATTAGCCTTGGAGAAGTCAATGTCAATGTCAATGCCAGAGGAGAAGCCAATGTCCAATTTGAGGATTCGGAGCCGGTCAGATTAGTTTGGCAAGGGGAGAGGGGAGGGCACAACGAGTACAAAAATTTTTGTCTTCAAATCAAAAATCTAAGCACTAACAATTCTTAAATGATGTCCAACTAAGAGAAAAAATGCAAAAAGAATCGATTTCGACTTGTCAATTTTTTGTTGATAGGTCGAGAAATTTTGTCTTTTGACCTAATCAAAACATCAACGGTGCTGGCCAGTTTGGGAGTTCACCAACTTTGATACGCCATATCTACAGAAGTACTCGACAGAACCCAGAAAAAAAGTGTTATGTATATTCTGAAAGCTCAGGTTGAGCTCTACACGATGGTAGTCGTTTTTCTATATGTTTTCTATTTTATTTAGGTTTTTGCCCTTCTGAGCACCAAAGTTGAAATCTAGAAATTTTCAAAGTCACTTTTCATCACGATACGTCGTCAAATCGTGGTGAAAGTGTGTTTTTTGGAATCTACGCAAAAAAAATTGGCCCAGGAAAGTGGAATTTGAATAGTTGCAACTGGGATATCTTAGGTGAATTGATTAGGTCAAAAGACAAAATTTCTCGAGCTATCAACAAAAATTGACAAGTCGAAATCGCCTCTTTTTGCATTTTTTCTCTTAGTTGGACATCATTTAAGAATTGTTAGTGCTTGGATTTTTGATTTGAAGATAAATGTTTTTTTTCAAACTACGTACTCGTTGTGGAGGGGGTTATGTAAAAGCCCTGCACCAGACGACGAGCGATTACGGGGCCGCACAAAGAACACACAGAACACACAAATTTTACGTGTATCTTTTTGGAAATTTGGATATAAGCTTGATTTTTGATTCTCTACAACTTTTCCATTGACA